TTCTTCTCTGATATAAACTCTCCAGCTTGCTAAACTCTTAGCTCCAAGGGAAGGAATCAGACTTGCAGACTGGTTGCCCAGACTTCGGGTGTGTGCTGGAAGGAGAGGAAGACTTCAGCCAATGACAGGTGCTACCTAGTCTCAGCCTTCAGGTTTACTTGGGGTAAGGGGGTACTCTCTGGGCAGCCCCTCCCCCATCGGGCTTTCAGTAGCTCCAAAACAGTTGCTCCCAGCACAGCCCACAAGCGAAATCGCTATTGCCCAGCTGCTCCTTCCGAGATCTGCAAAGTTGTTGGGGAAAAGAGAGGGTTGAGGTGGGGGTAGGGATGAAGGGGCTGGGACCAGAGACTGAGAAGGAAAGAGGGGGAGAGGCACAGGCAATCCCATGGGGGTGCGCCCCTCATCACCCGTTTGCTTCACTTACCATCTCACTGTAGGCATCCTTGCTGAGCCTGGGGGTCAACTTGATAGTCCCCATGAAAACAAAGAAGAGTCCCAGGGCCACTGAGAGGGCCACAATAGTTATGGTTCTGGGGGATGCCATGGGGTCACCAAGGCAGGTCCCAGCTAATCCTGCTTTGCGCACCCTGTCTGTCTAAGGCGCAGGCAGGCAGCTCAGAGAGAGCGAGAGGGACGCTGCGCTGCGGAGGCAGCTAGAATGACAAAGGGAGAGGAGGGAGCTCGAGAGAAAAATTGAGAGATCGAGATTCTACCACTTCCACTACAATAATCGCTGGGTCCTAATGCCCTACCTTGCTCCGTACAGGCCAGAAAAGACGGTCTCGAAGTTAAATGATGCCCTAAATTGAGGACGAAACTGCAAGTTTTTGGTGGAAAGAAGGTCGGTTAAGTATGCTTCGAATTCAGGCGCTGACCGGCCCCTGGAATGCGGAATTAGGGAAGAGGTCCTTCCTACAACTCAACTTCCCACCAGGCACACTTTTCATCTCCCTGTCTCACCCACAATCATTCAGTTCTTCCCTCTCTCTTTTTTTTCTTTCCACCTCTCCCTTTATGACTTCCTTGCCTTTTCCTAAATGAAAGCTTTCGTCCTCCGAGAGTTGTTGCTTTTTGACGTTAACATTCAAGCCTAAGACTGCAAATTCGTTAGGTTTGACTGCTGCCCCAGGAAGGGGCTTTATCTTTCTCTTCCTCAAAACCTTTTACTGACTTCCATTGCCCAGTAGTTAACTTTACAGTTAATTCAAAGCCTTCTATATTTTGGCATTCAAGGCCATCTACATTTGGATCCCTGTCTCCCTTCGTAGATTTATATTTGAACGACTCCCACTGTGACTTGTCACCCCTCATCTATTGTATCTAGTCATGGCCCTGTACAGCCTGAGCTTCCACATCTCCCCTACCTTTAACTATTTTCCCCACCTTCATCACTCTTCATTAGCATTCAAGCTTTCTTTCAATGTCAACTCTTCTATAAAGCCTTTCCTGAGCCATTTTCATCTGGATATGATTTCTCCCTCTGATTTTCTGTAACACTAGCCAGTATTATACTGACCATTTTCTAGGTGCTTCCCACCAGGCACACTTTTCATCTCCCTGTCTCACCCACAATCATTCAGTTCTTCCCTCTCTCTTTTTTTTCTTTCCACCTCTCCCTTTATGACTTCCTTGCCTTTTCCTAAATGAAAGCTTTCGTCCTCCGAGAGTTGTTGCTTTTTGACGTTAACATTCAAGCCTAAGACTGCAAATTCGTTAGGTTTGACTGCTGCCCCAGGAAGGGGCTTTATCTTTCTCTTCCTCAAAACCTTTTACTGACTTCCATTGCCCAGTAGTTAACTTTACAGTTAATTCAAAGCCTTCTATATTTTGGCATTCAAGGCCATCTACATTTGGATCCCTGTCTCCCTTCGTAGATTTATATTTGAACGACTCCCACTGTGACTTGTCACCCCTCATCTATTGTATCTAGTCATGGCCCTGTACAGCCTGAGCTTCCACATCTCCCCTACCTTTAACTATTTTCCCCACCTTCATCACTCTTCATTAGCATTCAAGCTTTCTTTCAATGTCAACTCTTCTATAAAGCCTTTCCTGAGCCATTTTCATCTGGATATGATTTCTCCCTCTGATTTTCTGTAACACTAGCCAGTATTATACTGACCATTTTCTAGGTGCTAGCCACTGCTCTTTACTCGTGTTAACTTGTTTACTCTTTACAGCAACAATATGAGCTCGGGAGGTATGAGTCCCCATTTTACAGATGGTGACATTGAAGCCCAGGGCAGTAAAGTAACTTCCCTAAAGGCATATATATAGCTGGTAAGTGGAGAGCCAGGAGTTAAAACTAGGCAGTCATTTCCAGAGCAGGCTCTTTTTTTTTTTTTCCTTCTTTTTGGAGAGGTTTTTGCTATAGGGTGCATGCGCTCGCCAGACAGAGAGAGAGACAGAGAGACAGAAAGTGAGAAATCACCCCCCCCCGGGGATGGTCATGCCGCAATCCCTTCTCCTTCATTCTCCTCTCGGGATCTTGGGCACGCACGCACACACGCCCGGCATGAGTTCTAAGCCACCGGTCCGAGATGCGAACCACGGTCGACTATGTGGGAGTCCAGCGACATAGCCATTATGCTAACTGCTGGTCCCCAGGCTCTTAACCACTACTCTTTTGCCTCTTCTATAATATATTTTACTGTTAGTGTGGCACTTCCCTAAATTGCTTAGCACTGCAATTACGCATACCTCCACATATCCTCAGTGTTGCCTAGACCCAGAAAGTCCAAGATTTGAATCCCGGTTCTGCCACTGTGTACGCTTAGATCAGTCACTTAACTTATCTGGGCCTCCATTTCATAAACTGTAGATGAAAATTCTGCCTCAAAGGTAAGAGTTCCATGTATGTAAATTGCCTAGAACAGTGTCTAACATGTAATAATACCTCAGTGGATGTAGCTCTTCCTGACTTTTCGGCCTTCCCAAACCACTCTAAAATAAGCTTAGATTATAAGCATTTACAAGGTAACAATCACTTCTAAATATCCCCCACAGTATCTAGAACAATGCCTTTCGTGCACCAGATCCTAATAAATCTTCGCTGGGGAGGGGAGATTGAGTAATTTAAATATAAGTATCTCTGGGGGGGTCACAACACTAAGGTTTAGCAATAATTTACATCTGATGATGGAAGAATTTAATACGATTATGATTCAACCTATAAATTACAGATGTAATGCCTACAATGTGCATACAAGTGAATTAGGCACTGTAGGAATACACAAACGAGGCAGACTCTATCCCCAGTGGGCTTATTATATAATAGACAGCAGGATTTGTTAGAGAGGAGAGAATTTTTTATCTACCTG